TCGTCATCATCTTGTGTGTTCGTGCGTAATTATGTGCTGCGGCTGAAACCTTTTGATGTGTGAATTGCGTTTCGATTTAATTAGGTGTCGTACGGGAAAATTCAATTAGGTTTTCATCAGCTGCGCATCATCATACAAGGGATATAAAATCAGGCTGCTGGGCACGGGCATGCATTTTAAATAACATTATGCAATCAATGTGTGTTGTTGTTTCGTTTGCATCCGAGTGAGTGTGTGTGATTTGGAGAGAGAGAGAGAGAGAGAGAGAGAGAGAGAGAGAGAGAGTGAATGGAAATCGGAATGTATCGGAACCGGATGCCTACATAACATTGAAGTGAAAGTGCAGCATAATGGCCCATAGAGACAGATGCAGTGTTCACACGTTCACATTCGCATTCTGCCCACTGAACACATCAATCAGAGCGCAATTGTCATTTATCATCTCCATGGAAAATTTATAATTGAAAATTAATTTAATTAGATCCGCTGTTAGGCATTTAGTCATTGTATTTTGATAAGTATTCACACAAGTAAAACGATTTAATTACAACTCAGCGATCGAATAGATAGGCAATGTTGATGGTCTATTGATTTCATTTTGTTTGGAAAGTTGATTGACCAATTTTTGTTCAATACTTATAGAAACCAAAATCATTCAAACCATTTTTCTTTTAGCTAAAAATCAAACCAAACCGAAATTCATTTATTCGTTCTTTTTTCTTCTTCGTGTTTGTTCCTTTTTTGTGATTTGTGTGTTTTTTTTTTTGATTGAACGCGCCGAATTAATATATAAACCAGGAGATATAACCGGAGGTAATGTGATAAATGCTTTTTCCAGCCTTTGATCTATTGTAAAAACAAACAAAATTACCAATTGAATTCAAAATCAATTTCGTTCTCTGCATTCATTCCTTTTGACCGAACTTTCCATTATTCTTTTCTTTTAGTCCAGTTGGAATATTCACTTTACGCTCGTAATATATACTTTTTTCGATTATCAACACTTTTTCACATACTATTTTCGTTTCCTGTCAGCCTTTTTTTTTTCTTTGAATAAAACGATTTTGCTTACTTTGATTAATCGAATTAAGTCTCTATATTTAGACATTTTCTTGTAAATTCTAATTCTGCCTTTTTCGCTATTAAACATACAATACTCTTCTTTTCACAAGCCTCATCAAAGCTATGCTCATCGCTCATATCTTCGAGCTTTGATCGTACGTATGTAAAATAATATCTAGATGCCTTTCGTAAATGCAACGCCATTTTTCTACCCAGAAAAAAAGAACCCATAAATAAAATGTTATGATAAAAGAGAAAGAGCAAAAAAATGACTTGTGTACAAATAGACAGAGCCAAAAGCCAGTTGTAAATGGAATGGATTCCACTCACAATGGTGTAATATTCTAGCTCATTGCTCGTAAACGATCAACACAGCTTCATGCACAGGCATCCGTCTTGTGATTCATTCGTTTTCCTACCATAAACCTTTAATATCAAAATCATCTCTCGCTCTCTCATCAAGATATTCATTTTATTTTCATACGTTGTTGATCCCAATTGCAATGAATTCGACCGGAACATGCTCTCACCAACATTGCTACAGAGTGTGTTCGCATATATAATTTGCTCGTTACTTTCATACATATATAGAGAGAGAAATGCCTAGCCACAGCTTCTCGGTTTTCCTTCTGAAATTTGATTTATTAAAATTGTCCGTAGAACAAAATTGTTTACCGTGTCAAAACTCCAGCAACATAGAACCATCAAAATGGAAAATTATTTTTAGCATCTAGTTATATCCGAATTTAGTTTTGATCGCATGTTCTACCGTTTGTGACAGTAAATTTTTTTACTGATTGGTTTTTTTCTTCAGTTTCTGTAGTTCGTTCCTAGTATAAATATTCATAGCATTTTATTACCGTCGCATTTCACTAGATCGTCTATTTTGAATCTCTTACTCGATGTGTATGTTCATCCATCTTGTGTGATTATCGTTGCTAAACGTACGCATCATTAGTTCCCGATATCTCTTCTAAAATGAATGTGACTCTGTTATCAATATCGAAACTTTCATAGCCCTATTCGTTCGAAATACGTATCGAAACAAATCACTTCACAGCCAAAGGATTTCCGTACGTGACTCACTCAAAACTTAATTTACTGTTGAATTATACTGTTGGATTTAACCGAAACCAAGCTGTTGGGAAAACAGCGAAGCCATCGAATCCAAATTCCAAACTCTAGAAAAACTAACATTCACAGTCGATGGCTATGCGAGTGTGTGTGCAGCACCCGGATTCAGAATAACCGAATGACATAAAATAGATAAAGTTGTGTGTGTACGTCTGTTAGTGAGTGTGTCACATAAAATCGGCGATACATAGCACATGACATTTGGATCCGGTCCAAATACTTCATTATATTTTTTGTGGCCCATAATTTTGTTTCGCTTCTAAAATCTCCCTAATTCTGATATGTTATGCAATTAATTATGACCGAAATCACCGTCATTTGTTACACTTGACGGAACTGCAACCAAACTATGTGCTTGCCATTTTTTCATCTCTCCATGTTTTGAAATGAGTCTATTAGCTCTCCACTTATGATACGTTAAATGGGTACATATATCGTGAGATCACCGTACAGTGAACGACCTCTTCGTTTCCTGATTATGCCAAAGAATGATGTCGTAGTCGTCGTCGTCATCATCATCATCAAGGATGAACAGTGTTCATTGAACACAAGGCAACACTGTTTGATATACAATATCAGACACAAAATGTCTCAATGCACACGCGTGCTGTGTGTGTATTCTACTTAAATTAATGTTTACTTAAATCCATATTATATTTTGAGTTAATTGATAGCCACGTTGATGCCATTCTATTTATTTATTCATTACATTCGATGCTGTGGGTCGGGTTAAGATAGAAAGACAGAGAAAGGGAGTGGGAACTGGCGTACAAATGCCGGTTGAAACATCACATGTGATCAAAAACATGGTCGATGTCCTTTATCCTGTTCGTCTCACAGTGATGAACGTTGGGGACAAACATTGATAGGCGCACGTATCCGAGAACGGTATTGAAAGATAAATTATTTATGTTGTGTATGTCCGTATTTTGAGCAAAGACTTATCGAGCCAATGTAAAAAGCTCTTTGGAGTCTCGCTCTCTATCGTTCTTTGGCTAGAAGTCTGAAGCTAGCTAAAAAAAAAAAATACACCAAGTTCATTGAGATGGAAGCAAAAGAAGGAGAAGACGGGGAAAAATTGAAAGAGCCAAAGAAGATTTCGCAGATACCAAGGCATTGCATTCTGTTGAGAGACCACATAAATGTCACATCCTTGGGTAATGTATTCGAATGAAAGAATCCAAAAGAAGAAACGACATTGAGCCGTATCGCAAATAAGTTTGAATTGCTTGGGGCTTTCGGAACAAGCATAATATTGATGATGCTGATGCTGAAAAAAAAAAAACGAATTGCGGTCACCGAATATAGAACGATGTGAACGGATTTGTCACATCTCGACGCGTGTGTGTGCAGTCCACTCTTTTTTCACTTTCGCCCAGTCTTCCTACTATATTGGCTTGAATAGGCGACTGTTTCTTTACCTACCGCCAGCCGTCAAGTATACTGTACCATGGTGACAGCATGTTATATGTTGTGTGTGTGCTTCGCTGATGGTACAATACACCGAGTGAGCGCGTACAAATGATTCGTCGCCGGTCAATAATACATTATTCGAGATTCGTTGCGCTTGTTATGTTTTTCCCATTTATCGTAATCATCACACCACACTCTGTCTTATGCTCTGTTGTTTCTCCGCTCCATTCTTTGGCCGATAATTTTTGTTCTTGACATGCTTACGAGCTGAAGTTTCGGTGGGAAAGCAACAAATGGCGAAGCATATACACACACACACTCATATATACCCAGTCTTCGCAATTATGAATGACTAACCAGCAAAAATACAAAATTTTGGGTCAAGTATCCACATCACATGTATGTAATAAGTACTAATAGAAAAGAAATTTATATCCGTTTTTTTATGAACCTTTTATACGTAACCCTCGCTTCCAGCAAAGAAGCACTTTAGTTTTTCCCTTCTTCGACTTCTTCTTCAACATCATCATCGAGAGTTTTTTTTTTTCTCTCGGTATCTGCTGTGCCACCACCAATGCGGTGTATATAACAATCTTTATGGATTTCAACATGTACATTTGCTATAAAGACCGACGCCTCAAAACGAAATTGCTAACTACGATACATTTATTCGATCAGCCGATGGATGTCTGTACATACAAGTTAAGAAGCTAGAGTATATCGATTTGAGATTTATTCGAAGGAAAAATACTATTCGAAGAAATTGACTGCTATCCAAGCTTCTTCTTGCCTTTGACGACAAGCTCATTAAAACATCCACTACGGAATGAACCGAGTGGCAAAAACGAAAGCGAAAATGTCAATGGCATGTGACGTCAAGACATTTTATAAATAGCAATAATGTGCTAGGGCTAATAAAAGAATGAAAATGACTTAAAACTTTCCCTTTTACTCTGGCTAATCGGAGCTGAGCAGCAGTGCTCACCCTTCACACAATCTCAGTTCATTTCCAAAGCGAGTTTATTTATTATTTTCATTGCATTAATAAAATGTACAACATGCTTGTGATCTCAAGCTTTGAAGCCAATACATGTAGTCTCAAAGCGAAACAGAACTACGTATAAAGAATGGAAATTTATGTACGTACAGAATGCTTTTCTTAAGTGAGAACAAAGAAAATCTTCAAATTTCTTGCACATTTCTCTTTTTGTTGTTCGCAGATAAAATGGTGCTGTCCTAAGGTCGCTTTTATATTATCCTTGAATGAAATTGCATAAACAACATTTCGAAACGTTAGAAAGTTATTTGGTGCATTTTATGATTTGAATCATGTGACAATATCGAATTTTCTTTCCTCGTCTCCTTCAGCTCGAGCAAAACCTTGTTCCGGTTTTTGTCATTCGATGCGCATCGACCGACATTGACTACGCAGTATCTCGCACCCACAAAGCACACATGTGTAAATTCCATTAAAAGCTGTTAACGAGTGAAATTACATATACAAAGCAAAACCATTTACTCAAAAGAATCCGAAACTTTGATGTTTGACTTTATGTTTGTTCTGTTATTTCTTGTAATAACAGTTTTTATTTGCATCCATCTACTGTTCAGCTCGTACACATCGAACGAATGGCACTTTGTGCCCATGTTCGCTTCAAGTTTGAAACCATAAGTAGTTCTGCGGAGGAAACGTTCCGTTGTAATTTAAAAAAAAGAGCAAAAGGGAAACAGAGAGGAAGAGACAGAGAGAAGAACATCTGTAAATGTGGGCAAAAAGTTGCAGAGCGTTACTGTTTTTCGCTCACTTGTTATCACAATGAACATGCATATTTGTTTAATTATCGCAATTTTTGTGGAAATACATTTTGCGTTCCACCACCACTGACATCCTTCACCCCAATTTTTCTTCATTGAAGATGATGGTTATGCAACGCATTCATTTAAAACGGAAGTTTTCATTTCAGCAGCTTTCTAAATTCAAGAAGAAGAAGAAAAAGAAGAAGAAGAAGAAGAAGAAGAAGAAGAAGATCGTCAATACTTAATTCGCCAATAAACAGCATCACACATTCCCCGAGGAGAGTGTGACGACAAGCGCAAAACCAAATGGATTCCAATTCTGAACTTTTCGCTCTAACGTCATTTTCTTCACTGCCAATTTCCGCCATTCAATTATTTACATTCACTTTTCTTTCCCTTGCTGTCCTCTTTCCATTTTCCACTCGATGAGCGCTCTCACTTGCTCGCTCGCTATTCATACTCCGAATTGACTGACTTTGATGTATATAAGTATGAAATGCGCATCTTCAAAATATCAACGATGATAAAGTTATTTGCATTCACACTTATACAACCAGAAAATTCAATTTACCGAATGCAGCTGCAACTGAAAATTGTGTTTTGATAAATTTAATAACAAAAATGAATTACGAATGCAATATTCTACTTAGCTGGTGTCCTGGTGTGCGCAATAACGATTTTTCTTCTGCAGAGTAAACATCAACAGATGAAAATATAGAATTCTTCAATTCAATTGGATCTTTTCTCATTTTTAGTCAACAAACTGGAGAATCACCGGATAAAATTTTGAATTTTGCATGCATTTTACCTGTCATACATTTCTATTCTCTGTTTTCATTTTCCAAATCGATCTTAAGTATCTCATTTTCTAGTTATCTATCGTAGACGTCATAGTTTCACCTCCAGAATATCAGCTCAATCATTCTACTTGGCAGTGTATTGCTGTGCAACATATATATATAAATTTGTAATGCTCAAGTCATTCAGTTTGTGTTGCACAGTTTTATCCAGCCTCAACATAAGTATCTTTAGGAGTTTTGTTTCATGTTAGTTGTTTAGTTTTCCCTTGGCATCATTTACACAAATAGTTGTACCATCTCTTTAGCTCTATTAAAGTTTATGCAATTGTATTGTAGTTCCCTTTATTTCGACCATCGTCGCCAAATTCGTGAATATCGTAGTGATAGCAAACACTATTTTTGATTTGATTCAACTATCTAAAAAAAAAAGTGACATTGGATACATTTAAAGTTTAAAGTTATACCTCTTAAGCGCTATATTAAAAAAAATAAAACTGTAAAGCAACGCTGTACTCTTTAAACTCTTTGTAATTGAAGCCGTTTAGATTAACATTTTCCCTAAATGGAAATGTCAAAAAGAACTTAAAAGTCTTGCTTCACGTTCTTTCATTTTATTAAACGTTGCTATATCTCTCTTTTTTCCCGTAATTAAATCTATTTTTGACAACTTCTCTTTTGTAATTCTTCATTTTGTTTTTTGTTTGCCTTTCAATTTTACATTTTGATACAAATACGCTAAATGAAGTACATGGCATTTTATTAATGATGATTCTTGATGTTTTTTTTTAACAACAGCGAATACCGGACTTTACGCACATTATGTGTTCAACACTCTCGACTCGGATCACAGTGGTATTGTTAGTTTTGAGGTAAGGACCCTTTGATTTAATCACCGAAAATCGATGAAACAGAGTACGCACACATGAAAAATTGATACATGTTAATCAGGTTGAATTGAATCAAGTTCATTGTCTAAGTGCTTTTCCAAAAGTGTATTACGTGTAACGAGAGTGAAGAGCTTTCATTCAAATGCCAAATTCCAATCAAAATAGATTGCAATTAATTCATGCATTAAAATTACAGACCTGACAACCCTTTGCGGTATTATCATCATCACTTTGGTAAAGATTCAGCCGACATATCGTGTTTGTACTGTTGATTTAGTGCTCTTGTCTCTTTTTTGCCCATACCTTTCACACATAGACACACAGATAAATAGAAACGCTCATTCGCGCAACACAAACGTTATTGGTCACATATGTTGAGAATGTTTTCATTTGTGCGTATATCTGTTTGTTTGTTTCGACTGCTGAGAATTCAACCGGAATTAACGATCTCGATTTACCGTAATCTAATTCGATTTTTTTTCTATTTTCATGTTACTCTCACCCACCCTCGTTTCTCCGGCTGACGTTGACGCTGATTTCTTGTCACGCTCACCAAAGGAATTCGTTCAAAATCTTTCAACATTGTTACGTGGCACAATGGAAGAAAAACTACGTTGGGCATTTCAACTATACGATATAAATGGCGATGGATTTATAACACGAGAAGAAATGACTGATATTGCAATTGCCATTTATGAGCTAATGGGACGCAATCCAGAATCGATTCACACTACACCAGATCCCGATCAAATTAAGGATAAAGTTGAGAAAATTTTTACGGTAAGTTTTGACTCAGCTTAAACTTTTACACATTTCATACGTATCGGAGAAGAAACACGGTTGAACGGCTTCAAAGTGAAATCTTGAGTGGATGGGGAGACTATCAAAACTGATGAAATCCGTTCGTGGCACCGAATGCTCTAGAGTGGTTTGAGTTAGACTTTTTTAATATCCGGTATCAAAGTCATCAAAACCCATTGCGCACGTAACACCCATCTGCAAATGTATCCGAAATCGATTTTCTTTGAAGAAGATACTTTGCATATGAATTGCGATTATTTGGGCTAAATCTATGAAGCGTGTGCTAGGAAATAGGCGATTTTCAAATGGTAACGGGTGCTATCAATCCGATTTGGGGTCTGTAACAGATGGAAAAAAAGGAAATAAAATATAACGAACGGTCTATTCCCACCGTATATACTATACTATAGTTTGATAGCCTAACCAAATATATTGCTCTATTCAACCACCATGCTTTCGTTGCTGATTTTTTTCATTTCGAGAAATAATTTTCCATTTAGAAAAGATACTTATAGTAATTTTCACATTATGCTCGGATAAAATTTGATGTAATCAGGATGATAAATCATTTGAAAATCGAAAACTTAAATGAATGCACTGAATATGGTGCTTAAAATTGTTGATGATTCACTTATTGCGGCATATAGATGATTATTCAATTAATCCAAATAAATTCCTAGCTTATCATGCATTCAATTAGTTGGGCATTTTAATGGAATCATATATATAATGCTATGCTGATTATTATTATTGTATTAATAATGCCCATACCAAGAGTATCCGAATTCAATTTGAATTTTCCAGCAGATTATTTATATATCTAAGTTTGTATTCACCAACTATGCTCGGACGATAATTCGAGAATGAAATCCCAATTCCATTTTGGGTCGACCATATAGCACAGGTCGTGCAAGTTATCCAGTAGAAAAACTTGTTCACCATTTAAGCGTGTGTCTTCAACGGATTTCTTGCTAAAACGGAGCTCATCTCTTTTTCCACCCCAACTTATGCCATTTGAAGAACGAAATTCTTTCGTTGCAAAAAATATGAAAGTCAATCATTTGAAAAATGATGAGAAAAAAAACGGAATTCATCACATAAAATTTGAATTCGTCGTTTGAACATCATGCGAATGGGGAAAACAGTGCAAATCAAGGACAAACAAAGCGCAGCGAGAAAAGAGAATCGGTTTGGAAATGCAAGTAAAAATGAAGCTACCTGGTTTGTATACCTAATGAGATATTCCCATGCCAATTATTTTGCTGCAGATGAAATGAACCTTAGTGGCTGCAGGCGAAATACAGCTTTGTGAGCTCCTTTTGAGTAAAGGAATAACCGGCAGCATTTCAATCGAGAAGAAACGTTTACAAAATGAAAACAAAACAAAGGAGAAAATCTAACGCTGATGGTAGACATTGTTTGATAAGCATTTCACGTCGTTTGACTTAATATTTACTAATCTGCGATTTTATGTTCGGAATTAACCTTAAAGCAACGCTTTTATTATTCTTGCGCGGAAAAAAAGCAACGAAATTAAAACAGAGGAGTAAAAAAAATAGAAAAACAGTCGATGCAGACACAAGGCCGAACAATGCTCGCACAAAAAGTCAAGTAATCAACGACGAAGCACGATCAAAGAAAAAAAACTAAAGGTAACCTAACTACTCAAATAAGAATGTATCATATACGAAAGGAAAGAAAGAAAGGAAGAATCGAATCAATTCATTCATTCATTTGTTGTTAATGACGCCAGCATTGGACGCCATGGATGAAAAGTTTTTCCCCTTCTACATGTTACCTGTAAGTTAGGAAACAAAAGCATAAATTCAATGCTGCAGACAGGTTTGATTACATGTCGTCCGTTTCGGCTAAATGCACAATTTATTCATGTCGTATGGGAGTTTGTGTGTGCGACCATCAACAAAAAATTCAATCGAGCTAAAGTTGCAAATAATTTGATAAAAGAAAAAGAAGAAACGAAACTTTTCGATCAGCTTTCTACCTCTTGATTGGCATTGTTTTGCTGCATGCTCGTTCATTCAGAAGATAAGTTTTGGCGAGACCCTTTTCTCAGAATGTTCGTGCATAGTTTTGCACAAATTCATAACCTCTTCACAAAAACTGTTCAAACACATTTATTTGGGCTGATTTATAGTTTTGGTGTGTGTAAGCTGAATGCACGCATTGAATCGCCTACCAGTCGATCGGACTCATATATCACTGTATGTCCCCAGAAACAAGTCGTAAAGCACACTAAACCAAAGCCTTGCATGTTGACACTGGTGACGAGCCTAGCACATGTTGTTGGATTCACGCGCTCCGTCTGTTGTAAATCAATGCCAAAATGATTGCGAAGACGGCTGTGTAGGAAAAAAATGAGCTAGAGCCCATGAATAGCAGCTGTAATTCACAGTATCCGTACAAATGAAGCCCTTTCTGAAACATTGATGAAAACAAAGGCAACGCCTGACTCAATCTTTTTCACTTTACCTTTTCAATATTCTATTTTGATTGGTCACCCTCTTTTTTTCGTCCACGTTTGTTACATGAAGCATGTTTAAAGCTGAATTAAAGGAGCTTCAATGTTCAATGACCGATTTTGACCGTTTTGCTTAGCTTTTTAACAGACGAAAACCGTATTCGTTTATTCACACTTCTGAAAAAAAGATGGAATTTGTGATGAATGAACGATGATTTAAATGGATTTCAATGCAAATGTGCCAATTTCCTCTAATTTTTTTTTTTGTCTCCAGAAAATGGATCTGAACCGAGATGGAGTCGTTACTCTGGACGAATTTTTAGAATGTTGTCGCAACGATGAGATGATTTCGCGATCACTTCATGTGTTCGATTCTGGCTTCTGACAAGATGCCCAGGTGTCAGACGATCCACCAGCACAGCAACAGCCCATCACAAATAAGAATGGCGGACCGGCTTTAATAACAGGTAAAAAAAAAAACCAATAGATCATCATCGTCTGCACCGAAAACCTATCACCATCACAACCAACAGCACCATCCAAATTTCCAGCAACCAACACCGTCAGCATGCCAATACTCACACAATTACCAATATAATCAACCAATTTATCATCAGTATTATCCGCAACAGGTCAGTAGTTAGCTGTAGCATTTATTCTTTTTTTTTATCTTACTTGAATAATGCAAATAGTAAAAGAATTTCTCTAGCGAATGATTTCCCAATCTTTTCGGCGGTTTTTTTTCTTTCGTTCCGTTGAAATTCAATTTTAAATTTTTTTTGTTTCGCTTCATTTTGCAATTTAATCGGCGATTAATAATCTTTCCATCAATTGTATAGAATCACCATTACGTTGGCAATAATCCGTATCGGCATCATGCGAGATACCAGCCAGAACATATGCGACCTCGGCAATATGAAGCGAATGGTTTCAGTGGGCAGCCTCATTCACAAGCGGATAATTTGCAAACACCATCGACATCATCGCTTTCGGGTGTACAATCGCTGCAACAGAGCGCCTCGCAACCAAGCTCTCAAGAGCAAATTCAATTACAGCCATTGCACGTTCGGCCGGATTCACCGTCACTGGTCAAAGTGAAAAGTTGGTACACAATGTCAAAGCGTGACGTTTGTTAGCCGCCGCGAAATGATTTAACGAAGCAGTTTGTTTGGTCCAAAATTTTTTTTTTCTTCAATTCTCTGTTGAACAACACAATAATCGAATTGAATTTACAGATCGAATGTGTTTTTAGCTGTGCTCAAACAATTCCAGTGTATCAAATTTTTGAAATTCGGAAAATAGATGTATCGAGCTATGGTTGAATATCAGGTGCGTATACTTCGTATAGAAAGATTGGAATAGTTCAAGTAACTGCAACAACAAAATATGTATTTGCATGAAGGAAAAAAATACGTACGTAAAATAGAAGTTCAAACAAAAAAGAATCCTGGCTTTAAAAAAATTAAGTGAAATGGTTCGTATGTGTGTGTGTGCATGCACGCACACGGAAAAAATTAATATTGAGTTCTGCGGACTATTTTTGTAGTATCTGAGTAAATATGAAATATATTGAGCAATGTCTATGATTGTCGCAGATCTTGAAAACGAATGTACAGAGAAAAAAAAGTGTTCTGTTATTGATGCTCTTCAGAATGAAGCGCAGCCAAAATCCAATCCACACAATTAAGTAAATGTTTATATATGAGTGTTGTTAATTCAAAATCCAATCTATTATAAGATCGAAAAAGGATCAAATATATATATATATTTAATGAAGCCAACAAGATGGAGAGAAGAAGAAGAAAAAAAATCGACAGAAAAAAAAAACTTAGACAAAAATTCTATATTTAAATGTTAACATTCACTGAATGACAGATTAAAAGAGATTATCTATTTAAATGGAAAAATTACCAATTGCGAATGCCAATGGAATCAATTTGAAAATATATTTTAGTCGAAGGCCATGCTGATAATTTCCAGCGACAAGATTATTCCACATGGCACTTTGTATTGAAAAAATATTCAAAACGACATATTTAATAAGTTGATGAACTTATGATAGTGTTTAATAGACCAAAACAAATGAAGAGAAATAAGAAACAAATGATTTCATTTATTATATATACTTAGTTAAAGATATAAATCAAGCTAAACCAGAGACAAAATGAAGAAAAAAAAACAAAAGAAAACTCATTGGATCAAAATCTTAACTAATAAAATTCCACATAAGAGAGAGAACTAAAACCAAATAACAACAATTGAAACTAGAAACTAGCCGTTTAATTAAGTGTTTTTAATCGAATACAAAGCAAATAAACGTTTATCTGTTCGTATTTGCAGATATATTTAGACATTTATAAATTTGTGTACAATTAGCGGGGAATGAAACAAAAAAAATCATTTAAACAAAATGACAAAGTATATGAAATGTTTTTATTGAAAGAGTTTTAAGAGATGCGATATCGAATGCGCCAGCTACTGTGGCCAAAATCAAACGGACACATCAAATCGGTTCTCTGAATTTATGTTATAAATATGCGCAACTTTGGCACTAAATTCACACTTTCCATTGTTAAACGTGAATACGTGCCGAAGGCAGCACACATTCACAGAAAAACATTTACCAAAAAATGCCAAAAAGCAATTTTCTTCCGAGAGATATCCGACGCTTGAATCGCCCCACATTATGGTCCAGTGTGCTGTTTGAACACCAGAAACGGAAAACATTTACATTTTTATCGCATAACTTCTCAATGTGTATGGCTTTTCGCTCTTCTCCTCCATATTGGATTCGGATTTTAAGAACTTAACAGAAGTTTAAAAAAAAAATCTCATAAATTCATACACTCACCACATCACAAAATCAAAGTCCTCCACCTCAAACACCACATAAATGAACAAAAACAAAATATGTAGACAAAAATGTTCGGCTTTCGGGTAAATGTGCAACGACTGCAAGCACATTCGATTTGCTTGTTTGTGTCTATGTACGTGTGCGAGTACAACAACTGCTCGCCCCCTCACAAAACAAACACAACTCAATTTGAACAGTTGCATCAGTCTGTTGCACATCGTTATTGAATTCTTCACCTAATAGATGTCTTATCTTTTTGCTATATGAAAAAAAAATCAGCAACGTAAAATAAAAATGCTGAGGATGTGTGGCGAGTGGAAGACCGTTGTAATTTCCCGTTGTGATTGCCCGTTTTGAAGATATCTCTTTATCGAATTCGAGTTAAAATTTCCAATATCGAGACGGTCTCTGAAAATACGATGATTAACAATGGGAATCATTTCTGCGTCACATACAAACCACATACTCGGCACACATTTTTCGGCGAGAAAAACATTTCGTAGTTACTCTGAATGTGTTATTGGGTTAAACAAAACAAAAAGGAAAACTTTTGTAAATAATAAATACGACGCTAGAAAACAATGTTTAAACAGTACAATAAAATTATGAATGTTCAACATTATGTGAAATCAAAACAAAGTCAAAACAAACAAAAAATATGATGATTAATTTCCAAAATAAATTTTTCATTTACGTTACATTGGTCTGTCCAACAAAGAGTTTTTTTAGTTCTTATTTTTCGAAGAAATGAAAGAAAAATCATGGTGCAAAATGGATTTGTTAAAATGTAGATGTATTTTAGCTGCGGGTGCTGAAAACGTAAAATCAATTGTCAATCCGCTCGTATGATCTCATTTTTGATGAAATCCCCGTCAATGTTGTGATTAGCGACAATGCATTGTTCGTTCGATGTACCCGTATGCAAATTTTCTTCTGTTTTTTTTTTTTAGATTTTGTATAAGAAATTTTAGGATAATAATAAACAAAAATGTATATAAATATAAAAAGGTATCCACACAACAAAAAAAGAACAAACGTGCAATTTGAACGTAAGTACCACTCAGCTGATGATTTGGATATTGGACCCGAACTGAATAAAATATGGCAATGAGAAATTGGCGCGATATGGATTAAATGTAGAATCATGAACTAAAAATCGCTCAAAGATTATCCGTCTCAGAAACTCAATAACTTCTCCTTAACTTAATAATAATTAGTATTTATTCTACTGGATAGCCAAATCTAAATCATCACCAATCGAACCTAGGCTTTCTCATTGTTAGCTTATGTTTTCAGTGATTCAAAGTGCGTTGTTTTCTTTTGTTCCGGCTTCCAAATGAAAATCAACGAGTATCATAGTATCAACACATTAATTTTTAGATAAATTAGTCCTGCGTACATTGAACTTCAGTGTTAAGTCAAGAGAATCAATCATTTGGCCAAAACAAAGTGAGAATGGCTGCATGTAGTAGACACAGAGCAATAGGGTGGTCCAAACTGATCATGGTAAGGTATATGCTCCCAATAGCTTAAAATTAAATTGGGCTCAAAACTGGCTGATTCCCATTTTCAGATTAAAAAAAAATGTTAAAATCTAATGATCGATAGAGCCGTACTTAAAATGACTGTTTTTGACCTACTTTTCAACATATATATTGATAGAAAACCCATAGGTTATTCAAATCGAATCTGGTGACATGTCATTTTTAGGGTTTTTTGGGACGTTCAACACGAATCCGTTGTCAAAAATTTTCAGTGGGAAAAATTGATATTTTTCTATACGGATTTTTTTGCATTTTTTCGGTTTTTCTCCCATAACTCGTACCCTATATGCGATGGAGCAAAACTTTGTTCAGTAAAGTTTTAGATCTCGCTGAAACCTATAATTTCGCCGCAGACAGTCATCACTTTTCTCCTATCAGTAAGGATATAAAGGCCTTGATAATTTTTATCAATTATCACTATTATCTCCTTACTGATAACAGATAAGTGATGACTGTCTGCAACAAATTTGTAGGTTTCAACAAGATCTAAAACTTTGCTGAACAGAATTTTGCTCTATCGCATATGGGGTACGAGTTATGGGAGAAAAACCGAAAAAAACGCAAAAAAATCCGTATTGTAACCATGTATTTTTGCTTTATGGCTGAATTTGTTTAAAAAAAAACCATGTTTTTGTACTAAAACTTTTTTTAAAAAGCAACATTAGCTAATTTTTGACAACGGATTCGTGTTCAACGCTAGGGGAATTTAACTCTTACGAGTGCAGCATGTTTTCTGCCAGTTTGCTTGATTCCTGGAAGTTCGACGCGTTCGTTGTACGTACTGACGCGCATGGTCACAAGTTTACACAAGTTTGTTTATGGTTTTGCGCGTTTTTCAAGTTGTTATTTGACAACTAAAACGCGTTTCAAACTAAAAATCGATTGTTTACGTGTATAAAAATTTTTTACATCCTTTCCAAAAGTTCAAAGATTTATATAATTATAAAATGGACAAAGGAAATATTTTTAAAGAGCTGGAGAAAGTGTTGGAAGAAAAAGTTAATCCAGATATAATAAATGGAACGACTGATGTGTGCGCGTCGTCCAGCTTCATGTTTGCACACGAACTCGCACAAGTTTGCGCATGTTGTTTTAATACGGAACTTGTCAACTGAGTGGAATCATGCAAGTTCTCTGGTGAATGTAACAATTTCGTGCGCGTTTATATCATTTTTTTACAAGTTTTCACATAGTTAAATCCCCCTAGGTTCAACGTCCAAAAAAAACCCTAAAAATGACATGTCACCAGATTCGATTTGAATAACCTATAGGTTTTCTATCAATATATATGTTGAAAAATAGGTCAAAAACACTCATTTTAAGTACGGCTCTATCGACCATTAGATTTTAACATTTTTTTTATCTGAAAATGGGAATCAGCTAGTTTTGAGCCCAATTTAATTTTAAGCTATTGGGAGCATATACCTTACCATGATAAATCAGTTTGGACCACCCTACAGAGCAAACACCTTACAATCGTTGCCTCAAATCGAAGCAATTCAAAATTTTGTTTGCCTTTGAAAGAATGTTTTATTCTTCAACATCATGCATTTAGTTATTGATTACAATCATTAGTATTGATTTTAATTTCTGAGTTCGTTAGCCACATTAAGTTGTACAATACATCAGCTCCATTCAAAATTCCAAAAACACCAGTATTTAATTTGCTCCAATGCTGCTATGCAATGCAGCACCATCCTCAGTTTACAAGTACATATTTGGCCATTTCAAGAGTTCTCCAAATGAATGTTCATCGGATAATGTTATCTGAGCCCATTTTGACTAAATCAATATCTGTTTATAGCTTTTAATTCCAACTGACCAAATCAAATTAAAGAGAGAAATACAGAAAATCGGTGTGAACCCAACTAATTTAGAGCTGTAGCATAAAGAAAATCGCATTCAATCTATTATACGTGTAAAAGAAAACTGAGCAACTAAGTATTTTAACGGGAATCCCCTCATCCATATAGATCTAACCTAAATGAAAAAAAAACAACAAACTTTGTAAAAAATTCTTCCTTTTTCTGAGGAAACGAACAAATGGTGTAAGCTTTTACTTCATTCAAGTTTTAGTAAAAATTCTTCTATCTAAATCCGAAAGAATTTCTAGACTAATTGGCCTAAGCATACTATTTTTATTTTATACACAAACTAACAACAACAACTATCATTTTAAGCATAAATACTTATCGTTCTCGTAAAAGTTTTTTTTTCGTTTTGGGGACTAGCAGTGAATCTGCGACCTTTATGTACAAAAACACCGTACAGTTTTTTTCTACTGTGTTCAAGTTTTTCTTCTCACATACCTACTATACTTTGTGTATGCATTTTTATTGTGCTAACGTGATTTCTATTCACGTCATTCGTCTAACTATTCTACTAAGACCGAACTTCAATGAAGCGAATCCTCCCTTCAACACTACGTGCACATACAGATCAAATGAAACGTATAATAGCATTTTCAATCGAATTTATGGAGAGCTCATAAAGTGTTGATCAACTGAATGAAACCTTTTAAATTGAGAGGAAAATGAAAATAATCCATTGCTCGATCCAATTTGCAATACCAATTGGGTGAAAAGGGGATGCATTTCAGTAATATATGTATATTTTATGCACTGTAGATTTTCAACAATGTGAAGATCCAATAGTTTTCTGTACCCAATGTATTGGCAATAAGTAGAGCAAAGAGAGTTTAATTGAATTTTAGGATTTAGAGACGTGCATTTGGATAAATGTCGAAATAATAACAGCGAATTGGAAGGAGAACAAAAGAGAAAGAAACCAAAACCATTGTATAAACATTGTTAGATTTGTCACCTGAAAAAGAGCTATAAACTAATGTATAGGAATGGAATTTGTGTATAGAGTGTAAATCGTTGTAATTGAACATTGCCAACGAATTCCGAAAATAGAAGTGAATCAATTCATGCGGCATAGTTTAATGATTTAGTTCTCATATTTATTTTAGGTTTTTTCGGCAGAAATTTCCAACTATTTTTTTACCATTCGAATTACTTTGTATCTTTTATTGAAGACGTTCTCTTATATGCTTGCAGTCTACCTTAGTGAATTTAGTTGGCGCTCTGTTCAGTTGAAATTCAATGTAGTTTTGACTGACCCATGAAAAAAAGTACACCAAGTGTAGAGCTATGTATGCGCCATGTTGACATGGTGTACATCAGGTGTGAGCCTAGATTTGCGCCCAATCCACACCATACACCACCGAAAATATAAAAGGTTCAGCGCAAACTGGTGTGAATTGTCGTTGCAACGTCCATTCATATTGTTTAAAATGATTATGACAGTTCACACCAATTTGCGCCGAGCCTTATATATTTTCGGTGGTGTATGGTGTGGATTGGGCGCAAATCTCGGCTCATACCTGGTGTACACTATCAACATGGCGCATACATCGTTGTACACCTGGTGTACTTTTTTTCATAGGGATGACTTCGTTCTCTAGAAACCTATAGATATTCCGCAGTACAAAGTAGAGAGACGGTAAGAGTGTAAGAGCAATTAAAAATTGGATGAAGTGAAACCATAGATTGAACACAGGTCTAGCTTATGATTAAACAAGTAAGGAAATGAATACCTACACCACTACCACACATATTTTTGGTATGTTGTCGCACGGCCCAAGAAGAAGTTCAAACGGTTGTACATAAAATGAAAATCAACAAACAAAAATTATATAATTGTTATAGAAATGAGAGTAGCTTTGCGTATGCACCAAATTGACACATTTGAGACGACCTAATTCCAAATTAGCATCCGATGTTCGAATTTCGAATGGAAAAAACCACTAATTTTTTTAGATATATACAGTTTGAAGTGAAATGCAATATATATACACACACTCACAGAGAAAGACAAAAACAGACAGAAAAATAATTTGAGAACTTGGAATTCAGGCAATAAAAAGCCAAACACACACACACACACACACATACAAAATGTAGAACGTGCCAAAGAAAAACCCGTTCAAATGTAAAACAATTGTTGGAGTCAATGTAAATACACTCGATTAGAATACAATCGACAGCATTTTTATCGTAGCAAATACAGAACAAAGAAAAATCAAATGTTATTTAATCAAGTTGTTATATATGCTTAAAATTTAAAGAAAAAAAATAATCGATTTTTCCAAACCTGAACATTTGCCAAATAAACCAAATAAATAAAAAAAAAAAACTAGATGAGTATCAAAAAGAACCCCATGAAATGTGTCCTTTGGTGTAAAAGTGAGAGCTTCTTTGTTGGAGCGTCATGCCAAGTAGTTTGATGTTTTTACGATATAAATCTTCAATAAATGCATTCGATTGTGTTGGAAACAGTCCATAAAATACACTCCGCTCAATATTTATTTCCCTTGATTTTGTTGAGCCACAACGCCATTCAATTCACTAGCACAAATGAACTGAACGCTTTGACGAGCAATTAATGAACTTGAATCGGGCGGAATAAAAGAACGGATTTTCTTAT